TTATTTATCTCGATATTATTACTACAATTATTATTCTTATTATTATTATATTAATTGTGATTAAACTTTTTAAAAAATTGATATAATTGAAACAAATGAAGAATGACAATAAAAATGGGTTAACTAAAAAATTTTTTGCAATTATCATCATCCTCATACTCATTATTAGTAACATCTTTATCATTATTATTACTAATACTACTATTTATTATTATTATTGTTGTTGTTGTTGTTATTGTTGTTGTTGAAAGTTTATGTTGGGTATAGAAGCGGGAATCAAGAAATTTATTCCAGGCAACTCTTTACCTTGAATGAGTGAGCGAATGAATGAATGAATGAAAGAATGAATGAATGAATGAATGAACGAATGAACGAATGAAAGAATGAATGAATGAATGAATGAATGAATGAACGAACGAACGAACGAACGAATGAATGATTGATTGATTGATTGATTTATTTATTGATTGATTGATTGAATCAACAATTGAATGAATGAATGAATGGATTGATAGCTAGATGTATGAATGATCGAATGACTGAATGAATGAATAGATCAGTAGATGAATGAGTTTAGAAATATTGTCGTCAATATTCAACAAAATCGATCAATCATATTCAAATTAAACAATCAATTAATTTTTCAAATTTATTTATTCATTCAATCAATCAATCCATCAACCAACTATCTAACCAATCAACTAACTAATCAACCAAATAGCCAATCAACCAAATAGCCAATCAACCATCCAATCAACCAACCTATCAACCAACTATCCGACCAACTAACCAACCAACCAGCCAACCTTCCAGCAGCAGCATTCCAGCTTCCGATCCCAGGCTGACGTGTGTGAACTTGTGGAAGGCTTTGAACTTTTCGATGCATTTTATTGTATCCTTTCCACCTGTTTTGAATGAATGAACGAACTAACGAACGAACGAATGAATAAATGAATGAATGAACGAACGAACGAACGAACGAACGAACGAATGAATGAATGAATATATGAATGAATGAATGAATGAATGAACAAATGATTAAATGAAAGAATGAGAAAACGAACAGGCAACAGTTGTAGTCCCTTTCTTAGTGGCGATGGAAATCCAGGAGATCAATCCTTCAGTTCCTTTCGAGAAAACTTCCCACTCAAACATTCCCGGATAACTGATTGGCCAATCATAATTATAATTAATAATATCATTATTATAATTATAAATATCATAATTATAATTATATAGACCCCGTC